TAGATTGTCTGAGCCTCATTGTTCTGGGAGGTTCTGGAAGGGCAGGGACATTTGGTGGCATTGCATGTCTCTGGGCTCAAGTACCCATCCAAGCAGCTGAATGAACGTAGGCAAGTCCCTCCTCCTGTCTGAGCCCCTATTCCTCACCAGTAAAATAGGGATGATAAAAGAAATGATTGAATTGTTGTGAGGTTTAAGTGAGGGCAAAGCCCATTGCTTGGCAGGTAGTAGCCCTCGATGCACCTTAGCTATTTTTATTAGTTATTTCCGTTTTTCTTGGTTGTTTCTCTTTTAACTCCCATCTGTTTCTGCGTTAATAAGACTTCTTTTGAAAATGCCAGTCTGCCTCAGTAGTACTAATTAAACACCAGGGACTTGCCCAAGGTCACACAGCTTGGAGCTGAGATTCAAACCCAGAACTTCTCTGATGTAGAAACCCAGGCTGTCTAGGAGCAGCTGCTGTCCAGCTTGGGCACCTCGGTTCAGTCAGTCCCTCTGCTCCATGGCGTGTGTGTGTGTGTGTGTGTGTGTGTGTCTGTGTGTATGTAGCAAGCTTATCACTCCCTTCTGGTCCTCTTCAATTCAATTCAACGGAAACATCTCGAGTGCCTACTCTGTGCCAGACAGAGATGAGTTCATGTGACTTGCCCACATTCTTCACTCTCAAGGATCTCAGAGCCAAGCGAGAGACAACTGAGCACAATGTCAGTGCTAATGGAGGGCAGGGGCCACTCTGAGCATCCAGAGGGGCCAGGAACATCTGAGAGTCCCTGGGAACCTGGCTTGTCTTAAGCACTCTTGGGAGGGCTCCTCTCTGTTCTGTCCTCCATTCTCCCAGACCCATCCCCGCCCTGCGGGATGCCCCTCTGTGCGTGCGCGCGCGCACACACACACACACAAATATACACAAACATGCACACGCACACACACACACAAACACACAAACACAAACACGCACAGTCACTCATCACTCCCTTGCTCTCTAATTGCCAGGAATGTGGCGCTGTCCCCAGCTCTTCCTCCCCTGCATTCCTCAGTAGCTACCGCGACCTGGCAGGGCAAATTATACCATGGCCCAGCAATAAAAGCCACTTTCCAAAAAAAAAAA